AGCGGCGGCGGAGGAGGAGGAGGAGGAGGCGGCGGAGGGGGAGGGGGAGCCGGAGGAGGAGGGGGGGGGGGAAGGCGCCGAGGACGACCAGACGCCTCGCTACGCGCAGTTTGACGCGGGCTTGGGCGAGGAGGAGGAGGAGGCGGCGGCGGCGGGCGAGGAGGAGGAGGCGGCGGCGGCGGCGGGCGAGGAGGAGGAGGAGGCGGCGGCGGCGGGCGAGGAGGGGGAGGAGGAGGCGGCGGCGGGCGTAGCGACGGCGACTGCCGCTGCTCTACCGAGGGGGGGGTGGGGGGGGGGGGCGGCTCAGTCGGTTGACGAGTTGCGGCGTGTAGGCGTCTGTCGCTGCTCCTCCCGCAGAGCGGCGGGCCGGCGAGCAGGGCAGCGAGAGGGGCGCCTAATGAAGTATCCATGAGCTGTGAATGAGCTCTTCATTAGGCGAGCACAGCAGCGAGTGGGGCGCCGGCGGGTCGGGCGGGGAGGACTTGCCCAGCGGGGAGGACTTGGCGACGCAGTCGGTGCTGCAGCGCCACTCGCAGCCGAGGTGGGCGGCGCGGCAGGAGGAGGGCGCGAGCAGCGGCGAGGAGGGCCCGCCCCACGCTTCCGCCGCCCCCCCCCCCGCCGCCTCCGCCCCCGCCGCCTCCGCCCGCCGCCTCCGCCCGCCGCCGCAGCGAGGCCGGTGCCGGGGAGGTCAGGCGCGGGGTCTGCCAGAGTCGCCCGGGCTGCTCATCCGGCAGGCGAGACTGCATCGAGATTGCACTGAGACGGCACCGAGATGGCACCGAGATCTCACCCGAGATGGCACCGAGACTGGCGCGGGAGGACCACACGCCACCCCGTGCTGCTCTCGCGGCAGGCGGCGGCGGCGAGCGCGGCGGAGGCGCGCAGGATGCGTGTGCTGGCGAGGCAAGAGCGCGCCCCGCCACCGGCCCCACCGCCTGCAGCAGCCGCCGCAGCCGCCGCTGCAGCAGCAGCCGCTGCAGCAGCAGCCGCCGACCGGAGCGTGTTCTCTTTTCCTTCGTCGCGCGACCCGTCGCCGCCACCGCGCCCACTGCCGGCACAGCAGAAGCCGCGGCGTCTCCCCCCTCCGCCGCCATCGCAGCAGCAGCCGCAGCAGCCGCCGCAGCAGCAGCCGCAGCCGCAGCCGCCGTCTCGTCGCTTGTCCGCCACCCGCGCCGCTTCCGACCACGGGCGGGGGGGCGGCGTTGCGAACGACGATCCGGGCGCCGAGTCGAGGTGGGCCATCCCGGCGAGGCTTTCGCCCCAATGATTCACGAGCGGTACTCAACACTGGTCATTGATCAGGCGTGCCGTCCCGGCGAGGCTTCGCCCGCCGCCGCCGCCGAGGCGCCCGCTCTCCCGCTCTCTCCTAGACACCTCCTAGACACTTCCTAGACACCTCCGAGACACCTCCGAGACATTTCCTCGACACCATCTGACTTCATAGATACCCCTCCCCAACCCACCCTACCACCACACACACACACACACACACCTCGCAGACACCCCCGAGGCACACCAAAGAACCTTCTCCCCAGGCGCTCTTCGCTTCTCTCCGCGAGGCCGCCCGCGCCAGCCAGGCCCGCCCCGCCCCCCCCCCGGCCAAGGCCCAAGAGGCGCCACGCAAGGAGCCCTCAGTGAGGGCGCGGCTCGTGGCTGACTGAGTAGGCCAGCCGCGCCGGCGAAGCAAGCCACCCCTGCCAAGCGCGCCGCCCCGGCCGCCTCCCTCCCCTCCCCGGCCGCCTCCGCCTGCGAGGAGGAGGGAGGCGAGCCGCAGGGCGGAGGAGGGGGAGGAGGGGGAGGCGGAGGCGGAGGCAGCGGAGGCGGAGGTGGAGGCAGCGGAGGCGGAGGAGGAGGCAGAGGCGGAGGCGGAGGCAGCGGCGGCGGAGGCGGAGGCGGAGGCGGAGGCGGAGGAGGAGGAGGAGGGGGAGGCTGTGGGCTGCCGCCCGGCTGGTGGGTGCAGCGGCGCGTGGCCCCGTCGCGCGAGTACCGCGTCTTTTACGGGCCGAGCAAGGCAAACCTCGGATAGACCTTGGAGAGACCTCGGCCAGACCTCGGCCAGACCTCGGCCAGACCTCGGCCAGACCTCGGATAGACCTCGGATAGACCTCGGATAGACCTCGGATAGACCTCGGCCAGACCTCGGATAGACTTCGGATGGGCATCGGTGCGTGCCTCAACTGCGCGATGAATCAACGCGTTGGCTCGCCAGGCCGGCTACGCCGAGTCGGTCCCTGGCGCGTGGAGGGAGTACTGGAGGCTGGGCGGCGCTGCGGGCTGCGGTGGCGGGTCGCCGCAGCCCGCCAGCACGCAGGCGTCGGAGGGGGGTGGGAGGGGGAGTGTGCGCAGGAGAGCGACACTCGGCGAGAGCCCGGGGGCAGCAAAGGCAGCAAGGGCGAGCCCGAAGGCAGGAAAGGCGAGCCCGGGGGCAGCAAAGGCGAGCCCGGGGGCAGGAAAGGCGAGCCCGGGGGCAGGAAAGGTGAGGAGGGGCGACGGGCAGCCGCACGCGCCGCCGGCGAAGCGGCCTCGCCACGGGGAGGATGCGCGCAGAGAGGGTCGCGGACAGCGGGGGGAGGGAGGCGGGGCGGTCGCTGCTACGGTCGCGGACAGCGGGGGGAGGGAGGCGGGGCGGTCGCTGCTGCGGTCGCGGCACCGGCGAGTGCAGGCGAGGCACGCGAGCGGGGGCGGTGTTGCCAGTCTGTGCGGTGCGCACCCGTCTCCTCCTCTCCTCCCGCAGGCGCCGCTGCCGCGGCCGAGCTGCAGCCGGGAGCCCGGTTCGAGTACTGGCTCGAGAGCGGGCCGAAGGGGCGCGGGTGGTACGCAGGCACGGTGGCGGAGAAGAACCAAGAGGCCGGCTGGTGGGGCGCCCGCTTTGACGACGCGAGGCGGCGCGGGTTCTGTGTCCTGATGACGGCCGCCAACTACGGGACCGCCTGGCGGTCGACCACGGCGCCGCCGCCGGTAGAGGGCAGGCCGTCGGGCGGCCAGGCCGGGGGCGTCTAGATGCGGAGAGTAGCTCCATATCTCCCCACATCTCCCGATATCTCCCGACATCTCCCCACATCTCCCCACATCTCCCCACATCTCCGTCTCCCCACATCTCCCGATATCTCCCGATATCTCCCGATATCTCCCGATATCCCCCGATATCTCCCCACATCTCGGGGCCTAGAAGCGGAGTACAGACCCATGTACTCCGGACGGCGCGCGAGAGAGAGACGTGCTCCGCTGCTGCGCTCCGCTGTGCTCACTGCATTCGTAGCTTGTGCGTTCACGCGACGCACTGAACACGCGGCGCGATACCGTTCGTACTCAGCCCTGGCTGTGGTGCCTTCGCAACGCAGACCGCAAGGGGGCAGGCGGGCGCACCGCTGGGTCGGCGCCCGACGGGCGGCGGCGCGGGCGGGAGCGGCGAGGCGGGCGGCGAGGCGGGTGCGCGGACCGCAGCGGCGCGACCGTTCCTCGGAGTCGTGCTTCTGGTGACTGGCATCCGAGATGCGGGCGATAAGTCGAAGCTCGAGGCGGAGCTGCGCGAGGTGGAGATAGCCGGAGATGCAGCCGGAGATGCAGCCGGGATCCAGACATTTGCAAGGGGGGAGGTGGGGGGCGTGTCTGTGCACGGCGCCTCCTCACGCAAACACACAAGCGCGGGCCCAAGACGCACAAGCACAGACCGTCGAGAAGGGAGAGAGACAGCGACGGCAGCCAGAAGGCAGCACCGGGTCCCAGGAAGGCGAATGCGAGGACGGCGCCTCTTCACACTTGCGCCTGTGCGCAGGCCGGCGCCGAGCTGCTCGAGGAGGAGCAGCTGCGGTCGGCATTCGCTCCCGCGTCGGCGTCCTTCTCTCCGGGCTCGTCTGCCGCAGCCCTCAAGGCGCGGCCGCTGGCTCCTCGTCACGTGGAGATGGGTGCCTTCATTTGCTGCTCCTCCTGGACAGGCGAAGCCGCTGGCTCCTCGTCACGTGGAGATGGAGGTCTCACTGCTCCTCCTCCTACTGCAGGCGAAGCTGCTGGGCGGAGACCTCCTCCTCGTCACGGGCGGGCCAGCAAAGACCATCAAGTTCTACTTTGGCCTCGCGCTCGGCACCCAGCCGCGCCTCGACAGGCGCCGCCGCTCGGAGGCTAGGGAGGCCTCCCTGAGAGCATCCGCCGTGCATGAACAGGCCTGCAGCCGCTCTCGACGGGCTGGGCTCGCCGCTGCCTCGCGAAGGGTTGCTACCTCCGCCCGTCAGCCGCCGACGAGGCGCCTGCTCTCTCGGCTCGCCATCTCGGCTCGCCATCTCGGCTCGCCATCTCGGCTCGCTATCTCGGCTCCATCTCGGATGCGCCTCGATTGCGCCTCGATTGCGCCTCGGCTCCCTCTCGGCCCTCTCCCGGCTAACCCTTGGCTAACCTCTCCCGGCTAACCCTTGGCTAACCTCTCCCCGCCCCGATTCGGCGAGGCGCTGCGCCTGCCTCCGCTGCTGCCGGCCTGCTCTCTGCTCGCGGGCCGGACGATCGTCCCGGCGGCTGCTCGACCGGGCGGGCGGGCAAGCTGCTGTGAAGAGCGTCTCATCTCACTCCTCTCGCCCGTGAGCAGGTCGGAGACGACGGGTGGGTGGCCAACTGTGCGCCGCTCCTCGCCGCCGCGGGCGCCGACGCACGCGGTCGCCGCCGCAGTCCCTACCCCATCATTCATCGCCGGCGCTTCTTGTTCGCTGCAGGCGCCGACGTGCAGACAGAGCTTCCGCGCGTCCACCACTCGGCCAGCGGCGCCGCCGCCGCTCCGTGCGCCGCGGCGGACGCATCTTCGGCGAGGCGGCTCCGCCCTTCACACGTCTAGCTGCTGGACAGGTGCGTCGTGATTGCAGACACGCTCGAGGAGGCGGCGCCGCTGTTTGCGCGAGCGCGCGCGCGGCGGTTGCCGGTCGCTGATCTGCGCTGGCTCAAGACGATGCTGATGCGGCAGAGGTACCGCGATCCCCGGCCAGCGCCGGCATGAGTTCGAGCGCTCATACGGACGATTGCCGCGGTAGGGGGAGGGGAAGGGGACATTAGGGTCTGTTTACACTGTACGCGTCTACGTTTGTGTTCAGAAGGTGCCTTTTTGTATCCGTACTATTGTCGCTCTCTAATCTGCGTAACCTCCTGCCCCATCCCCGCGCGGAAAATCGAAGGACCGAGGCTGATCGGATCGCCTGGGCCAGCGTCTGCGCGTGCATCCAATACTCTCACTCGTCCCTCAAGAGCCTGATCCTCTTTGCATGCGCGCGGCGCCCGTTACCGCCTCCGCCGTCGCTGCGCGCGAGAATGCGGTCGCGGTAGCTCTCGAGGCGCTCTTTCTGCTTACCATCAGGCCCGAAGTTGTAGCTGTCCAGCCACTCGTAGAGAGCAAAATGCATGTGAGATTCCACTCGCGATCGAGCAGCTACGGCTGTATAGAGATCGGGTGGTGGCGTCTGCGGCTGGCGCGAGAGATCAATGCATTTCTAAAGCACCGTCCAACCGCTAGGACCTTTCACCACACCCGACGACCAACAACCGAGCCCGCCGTGCCTCATCGCCAGAGAGTTGCTCGGGTAGCGGGCGCCCGCATGCGACAGAGAAGATTCGCATGGCCCTAAGGCGGCTTGGCCCTCAGGACGGCATTGTGCTTGGTGCGCACACACTGTTACATCAAGCCTATGGCGCAGCGGGTGACGCATTGGGCGGACTGCCCTTACGGCGCCAGGACGGGAGAGCCGCCAGCCCCTCCCGCGCCTGCCGCTGCCCCCAGCAAGCAGCGAGCAGGCGCCAAGCGCAAGCAGCGAGCCGAGCAGAACACAAACCCAGCCCGCGCCTCCACCTCCAACTCACCCGCTCCCTCACCCGCGCGGGGCGTCGCATCCACCTCGAGCGCCGCGCCCTCGCCGGCAAAGCGCTCCGTCAAGGACATGGCGGATAAGCTCGCCGCCGAGCTGGAGCTGCCGGAGGGTGCAAGATCCCGGAGGTGGCCAAGGCGGCGTGTGCGGCGCTCGGCGTCGACCGCAAGGGCGACTTCGCCTACCACAGATCGCGGCGTGCCACGACATGATGTGGAACGACGGTGAGTGAGAAAAACTGTTGGGGCTCGTCCCGCGGAGCACTTGCTGCAGGTGCGCCGGGAGCAGTGCCGCGGACGTGCGGGCCTGATATCATACGCATGAAGTGCTCCGCGACGACGGGAGCTGGGGTGGTTGTACAGCCACGCAGGGGAAGCCGCTCGAGAAGCGCATAGTACACAGCGCAGGGGTGTACGGACAGTCGGTGTGTATAGATCTCCACGTACGGCTCCACAGCGAGTGAGAGGAGTAGCGACTAAGACGGGACTGGTGACGCGCGGCTAGCCGCGAACAGACACGGATACCGGGCGGCGGGTATCCGCCGGTAACCCAAACAAACCCGCATGATGGCATAATCCATAAAAACACCCGTCCCGCTCAAACGTCCAGGCCCGTTGCCGCGGGGCAGCACTGGCACAGGTTCCTCAGCGGGTAGACGCAGAAGAGGCAGGCGAGGAAGACGATGGGGAAGGCCCCAAAGACCACCCCTCCGCCGTACGCGGCGGCCACCCCAGCGTTCTCCGACCAATCCAGCACGGCGTAGATGTAGGGCTCGCCGCCTGCCGTTCCGCCCGCCAGGTCGTAGATCAGGCTGAAGAGGACGTAGGTTATACCGTACAGCACCGGCACCCACATCTGATTGAGCCGCATCGGCAGGCCGGCGATGAGGAAGTCGCAGAGCGCCACCACAAAATTGACGCCGTGCGTGAAGCACGAGAGCACGGACGGCGGATCGGGCGAGTTCCAGTCGTAGACGAGCGCCCAGAAGAGCACGAATACGAAAAAGGGGGCGACGTAGGTGAGGACCTGCAGGGCGTATGTGAGACGGACGTAGCACGGAGTGGTGCCGTCTGGCTCCCCGTTTCTCGACGCGATGGCCAAGCCCGACACAACGGCGGCGAGGATGAGGTAAAAGAGCTCAAACAGCAGCGTCCAATGCGTGAGGTAGATGTACCACTCCGGCGCCGTCTCCCAGTCGTTGCTCTTGTGCTCCACCATGGACCAGATTGTGATCCCAAGCCAGAAGGCTGCCAGGCTCGCCCGCACTGCCAGGAAGGCCTCGGGCGGCGCGCAGCGGGCGAGATTGCTTGGCGTGGAGTAGGCCTGCCGCCAGGAAGGGAGCGCAAAGCACCAGCCCTCCCGGCAGTTCGCGATGAAGGCCACGTCCAGTACCTTTGGCTTCTGGGTTTCCGGAGTCTTCATTCCTGCGCTCGCAGGGCGTCGCAGCGTGCGAAAGCGATTCGGCGGAATGGGACGGCCGACGCAGTGGAAGTCATAAATCTCGAATTTCTTTTTGTGATTAAATTCGTTTTTTGCAGAAAAGAAAGAAAGAAAGACAACCCAAGGGAGGGGTGGAGAGCGACGTTTTGCCGATTGCAAAATTCTTTTTCAAATTAGATATCGTTAGGTACGCGCCGCGTTGTTTGCAAAGCCAGGGGGAATGCAGCACGAAGCAGCTGGCACGTCGCCTGCCGACGCGCCGCTGCTTGGGAAGCGAGTCGAGCTCGGCGGGCTCTCCTCCCGCCCCGAGCTGAACGGGCAGCGGGGCGTGGCGCAGAGCTTCGAGGGCGGCCGGTACGCTGTGGCGCTCGAGGGCGGCGGCGAGAGCATGCGGGTGCGGCCGGGTAATCTGTCGCCGGCTGCGGCGGAGCCGGTGTCAGGCGGTGCCGTGGCAGTCTGCGATAAGGTCATTGCAGCGACTGAGCGAGGCGAGGAGGCGGCGGTGCTGGCGTGGCTTGACAGTGGCGGGCGGGCCGACGCGACGTACGAGAGAGGCAAGACTAGCGGCCTTACGCTCCTCATGTGCGCCGCCGGCCAAGGCCACGAGCGGTTGATTGAGCTGCTGCTGCGGCACGGCGCTGAGGTCAACCTGCAGGACAGCGACGGCGACACCGCGCTGGTGCACGCCGCCACCAACGGCCACGAGCGGGTGGTCGAGTTGCTGCTGCAGCACGGCGCTGAGATCAACCTGCAGAGCAGCGACGGCTCCTCCGTGCTGATAGTCGCCGCCGGCCAAGGCCACGAGCGGGTGGTCAATCTGCTGATACGGCGCGGCGCTGAAGTCAACCTGCAGAGCAGCGACGGCATCACCGCGCTGATGCTCGCCGCCGTCTGCAACAAACTCGCCGTCTTGCGGCGCTTGCTGCGGGCTGGCGCTGACGCGACGGCGCGCAATGCGTATGGCAAGACAGCGCTGCAGCTGGCCAAGGCGACGGGCCACGCTGAGTGCGTCAAGGTCTTGTCGGAGGCGGTGGCGGCGGCGGAGGGCCGAGTAGGGGCGGGCGGCGCTTCCTCGGGCGCGGCATCGGCAGCGGTGGACGCGCCGCTGCTCGGCCAGCGCGTCGTGCTCGGCGGGCTCTCCTCCCGCCCCGAGCTGAACGGGCAGCGGGGCGTGGCGCAGAGCTTCGAGGGCGGCCGGTACGCTGTGGCGCTCGAGGGCGGCGGCGAGAGCGTGCGGGTGCGGCCGGGTAATCTGTCGCCGGCTGCGGCGGAGCCGGTGTCAGGCGGTGCCGTGGCAGTCTGCGATAAGGTCATTGCAGCGACTGAGCGAGGCGAGGAGGCGGCGGTGCTGGCGTGGCTTGACAGTGGCGGGCGGGTCAACGCGACGTACGAGAGAGGCAAGACTAGCGGCCTTACGCTGCTCATGTGCGCCGCCCACTGCAGCCACGAGCGGGTGGTTGAGCTGCTGCTGCGGCACGGCGCTGAGGTCAACCTGCAGGACAGCGACGGCGACACCGCACTGATGCACGCCGCCACCAACGGCCACGAGCGGGTGGTCGACTTGCTGCTGCGGCACGGCGCGGAGGTCAACCTGCAGAACAGCAACGGCGGCACCGCGCTGATGTTCGCCGCCGTCTTCAACCAACTCGCCGTCGTGCGGCGCTTGCTGCGGGCTGGCGCAGATGCGACGGCGCGCAGCGCGAGCGGCAATACGGCGCTTCAGTCGGCCAAGGAGATTGGCCACGCCGAGTGCGTCAAGGTCTTGTCGGAGGCGGTGGCGGCGGCGGAGGGCCGAGTAGGGGCGGCCGGCGCTTCCTCGGGCGCGGCAGCGGTAGCTGAAGACGCGCCGCTGCTCGGCCAGCGAGTCGTGCTCGGCGGGCTCTCCTCCCGCCCCGAGCTGAACGGGAAGCGGGGCGTGGCGCAGAGCTTCGAGGGCGGGCGGTACGCTGTGGTGCTCGAGGGCGGCGGCGAGAGCGTGCGGGTGCGGCCGGGTAATCTGTCGCCAGCGGTGTCGAGGGGTGACGTGCCAGTCTCCGATGAGGTCGTGGCAGCAGCTGAGCGTGGCGAGGAGGAGGCGGTGCTGGCGTGGCTTGACAGTGGCGGGCGGGCCGACGCGACGTACGAGAGAGACGGCGTGAGCGGCATCACTCTGCTGATGGGCGCCGCCGACCAAGGCCGCGAGCGGGTGGTCGAGTTGCTGCTGCGGCACGGCGCGGAGATCAACCTGCAGGACAGCGCCGGCAGCACCTCGCTGATGCTCGCCGCCGGCAACGGCAACGAGCGGGTGGTCGACTTGCTGATCCAGCACGGCGCTGAGATCAACCTGCACAACAGCAAAGGCCGCACCGCGCTGATGTACGCCGCCCTTTACGGCCACGACCGGGTGGACGAGTTGCTGCTGCAGCACGGCGCGGAGATCAACCTACAGGACAGCAACGGCTGGACCGCGCTGATATTCACCGCCGGCAAAGGCCACGAGCGGGTGGTCGACTTGATGATACGGCTCGGCGCTGAGATCAACCTGCAGGCCAGCAACGGCTTGACCGCGCTGATGAACGCCGCTATCTTCAACCACTCCGCCGTCGTGCGGCGCTTGCTCCAGGCGGGCGCAGACACGTCGCCGTGCAGTCCTCGTCCTCGTCGAGTACCGTCGGCGCCAAGGCCAAGCCTAGCTCAAGCGAGCTCGAGGTGATTGTGCCGGAGACTCCCTCAACCAGCTGCGCCGTCGACGATATCAACGAGCGTTTGCGCCAAGAGCGCCAACGCTTGGGGATCATCGTAGTGGTCCGCCGACCGGTAGCGCCGCCGCCGCCGCGCAGGCGGCCCGTTCCTCGAGCTCTCCTCTCCGATTCTCCCCGCCGATTCCCCCACCGGGAATCTCGTTGGGATTCAGCCCGCCGCCGAGCCCGCCGGGAGAATCTCGTTGGGACAGCGACAACGACGATGCCGCGCTGTCGTTCCATGGCCCGGCGGAGGCCAAATGGCCAACCATTAGCGAGAGTATCGGCGCTGCGCTGAGGTCTGCCGGCGCGCGCCTTCCCCACTTGCTCCTCCCCTCCTGCGAGCCGGGCGAATAGGATCATGTCCCCGTGCCATTCTCCGCGCGCCCCTGCCGTTGCGGAATGCGTGGAGCTTCCCCGCCTCGTCTCGTGCACACCATCCAGCTCTCTTGCTGCTCTCTTGGATGCGCCCGAGCCCCCAACCCTCGCCAACCCCAGCCTTGCGAGGCCGCATGCCGCTCCGCAGTTTTCGCTAGAGTTTTCGCCGCCGCGGTGTCGGTTTTGTATCGTCCATGTCAAAAAGTTAACTAACCGGTGATTTTGACCGAGGAAAGACTGAAACCTTTTGACTCGCGCCCTGCCTCCGTCTCCGGCTTGCCCCTCATCTCTATCATGTCTCTAAAATAATATTTGGTATTACGAAAAACTGAGTAAACTGCTGGAGTCGACACGTACTGAGAGCCGTACAGACGAACGATACACACACCGAACCGCGTCACGAAGAGGGTGCAACCGAAAGCGTATCGTGTGTCAGACCGCTCGGCGCCCCGCCCGACAGCGTCTCGCCACCAGCCTCCTCCTCCCCCGCCGCCACCGCCTCGTGCCGCGCGTCCCTGGCTGCCACCTGAGCGGGCACGGACCTCGAGGCTCGTTTTGCGACGGCGTCGACCGGCCGCCGGTACTCCTCGCGCACGCCCAGGCCGACGGCGATGAAGCAGGCGGCGGCTGTCGCCGTCATGATCTCGTTCATCGCGTCGGGCGGGAGGAGGTCGTTGCCGACGATGAGCAGCGCGCACGACGCGTTGAGCAGCAGAACGAGGATGCCTGCGCTCATCCCCTCCTTGACCGGGTAGAGCAGCTCCGCGGCCAGCTCGTAGACGAGCGGCGTGGTGAGGCCTTGGGCGAAGCCGGCGACGACAAGGCTCAGCAGCAGCCCGGCCTGCGAGCGAGGCAGCGGCGGCGCCGCCCCAGCAGGCAGCAGCGAGCAGGGCAGCTGCAGCGTGAAGGCGGCCGTGGCGAAGACACAGATGCCGAGGCCGAAGACGATGCCGAGCTTGAGACGCCGCGGGTACCGGTCCATGGCGGCGCCAGCGAGGAGAGAGGCCGCGTTGATGGCGACGCCGTTGCCGAAGCCGATCCACGCGACGGCCTGGGAGGCGAGGCCCGGGCGGGAGGGGCCGGGCCCGAGAATGCCCTGAAGGCACCCCTGCCACCCCGACTGCGCGCCTATGTGTGCGAGGTTGCCCGAGATTGCGCGAGATTGCCCTCGAGATTGCGCGAGATTAGCCCCCCGACTGCGCGCCACTCAGCACAGCGGTGGACAGGACGAGCACGATGTAAGACCGGTGCCGCAGCGCCGCCCTCAAGCCTCCGAGCCAGCCGCCTCCGCCACCGCCGCCACCTCCGCCGCCCCCGCTGCCCCCGCCTTCGCCGCCGCCTCCGCCGCCCCCGCCGCCCCCGCCGCCCCCGCTGCCCCCGCCGCTGCCGCCTCCTCCGCCGCCGCCGCCCCCGCCGCCGTCGCCACTGCCTCCGCTGCTGCTGCGGGTCGGCAGCGCCGGATGTGCCGGGGAGTGCGGCGGCGGAAGCGGGCGGGGGGTCGGTGGCGGCGGCGGCGGCGGCGGCGCAGGGGCGGGGAGGAGGGCGGTGGAGGCGGAGGAGGCGGGCTGCGCCCCCGCCCCCTCCTCCGAGGACCTATACTCTCGGGTGATCTCGGGTGATCTCGGGTGATCTCGGGTGATCTCGGGTGATCTCGGGCGATCTCGGGCCATCTCGGGCCATCTCGGGCCATCTCGGGCCATCTTTGAGTTCCCTCCCCCCCACCCCTCCTCCGAGTACCCGACCCCCAGCTGTTAGCAGCTAGGAAGTGGGACGGGCTCTCCGCCTCACTCCCTCCGAGGACCTGGCGGCGGCGGCGGCGGCGGAGGGGGGCAGCGGCGGCGCGGCGGGCAGGTAGACGACCGCGCACGCAGCCGAGGCGGCGGC